CCACCCTGAAGGGGGTGTGGGCCAGCCCTGAAAACAGCCATCAGCCCCTCATCCAGGCTGGCCAGGCACCCCAGTGGGGACCCCCACCCTGAAGGGGGTGTGACCAGCTGCAAACAGCCATCAGCCCCTCACCCAGGCTGGCCAGGCACCCAAGCGGGACCCCCACCCTGATCCGGGACACCCTTCAGGGAAGACCAGCTGGCCCCCACCCATGCACCAGGCCTCTATCCTATATAGTAAAAGGGTAATATGCAAACTGACCCTAACAGCAGAAAGACTGGGAATGACTGGTCACTATGACACACACTGACCACCAGGGGGCAGACGCTCAATGCAGGAGCTGCCCTCTGGTGGTCAGTGAGCTCCCACATGGGGGAGCTCTGCTCAGCCACAAGCCAGGCTGACGGCTGCCAGTACAGCGGTGGTGGTGGGAGCCTCTCCTGCCTCCTCAGCAGCGCTAGGGATGTCCGACTGCAACTCAGGTCTGCTCCCCGCTGGCAAGTGGACATCCCCTGAGGGCTGCCGGGCTGCCAGAGGGATGTCTGATTGCCAGCTTAGGCCCAATCCCCCGGGGAGCAGGCCTAAGCCAGCAGGTGGTCATCCCCCGAGGGGTCCCAGACTGCGAGAGGGCACAGGTCGGGCTGAGGGACCTCCCCCCCTCCCGAGTGCACAAATTTTTGTGCACCGGGCCTCTAGTTATTAAATAAATACATGATGAAAAGGGAGGAAAAAAGCTGATTTCAATCATAAATTCCACAACCTCCCCTACAAGTACTGTTTTAGGGGTTTGTTTTTGTGGCTTAAAACAACACAAATTTATTTTCTTACAGTTCTAGAAGTCAGAAGTCCCAAATGGACCTCACTAGGCTAAAATCAAGGTGTCAGCAGGGCTGAGTTCCTTCTGAAAGCTCTGCGGGAGAATGTTTCCTTGCTTTTTAAGTTTCTAGAGGCCACCCACATTCCTTGGCTCATGGTCCCCTATTTTCAAAGGCAGAAACATGCAAACTCACATCTCTCTGATTCTTCTTATTCTGTCTCCTTCTTCCACTTTAAAGAGCCCTTGCTATGACATTGGGCCCACCTAGATAATTCAAGGTAATCTCCCCATAACATTTTCAGCTGACTAACAACATTAATTCTATCTGCAACGTTAAGTTCTCTTTGACATTTCACCTAACAGATTCCAGGGATCAGGACATGGACATCTGTAGAAACCATTCTTCTGCCTAGCATGTTATATGATTAGTTAGTTACTGAGATACCCTAATGTGTTTTAAAAATTATTTACCCCCTACACATTTTTAGGTAGACATCTAGCTAGCATTTCTCATTAGAGTTTCAAAGAATGTAATTCTGTGCATTTTGTAAATCTCAATGTTTACATCAAGTACCTAAAAGAATTTAAGGGTGATGGTAGCTCTAGCTAGTTTTGCTCAGTAGTTAAAGCATCAGACTATGGACTGAAGGGTCATGGGTTTGATTCTGGTCAAGGGCGCATACCTCAGTTGCAGGCTTGATCCCCAGCCCCAGTCTGTGGCCCCGGTCTGAATGTGGGAGGCAACCAATAAATGTGTCTCTCTCACATTGATGTTTCTCTCTCTCTCTCTTCTTTCTCTCTTCCTCTCTCTCTATCTTTCTCTCCCCCCCTCCCTTCCACTCTCTCTAAAAATCAATGGAAAAAATATCCTCAGGTGAGGATTAACAAACAAACAAAAAAAAGTGATGATAATTTTACATAACTATCTTTCATTTAAAAACTTTTTCAATACATGCCCTATACTCATTTTATACTAAATTATTTGCACTTACTGTTACTACCCAAAATTTATTCAGCTGTTCAAATTCTGCTTCTAGGCCTAGGATGTAACCATTGAATTGCCCGCTCCATTCTGAATGGGAAAGATCAGAAACAAAATGGAAAAGCTGTGCATTTTACTGCATACAAAATATACCTCATTTTTTAAAGGGGGGGAGGAGGATTAGAGCAGATCACTATACAACCCAAGAATCTGTCCAGGGCCCAGAGGCAAAGGCAGAGCCTGCCCAAATGCAGTGTGCTTAGACCCTCGGCTTGCCTGCACCCTGACCTGGTCCCCCACTTATGAGTACCCTTCCCCACCAAGCTAACTCCCACTCATTTCCAGACTCAGGTTAAATCTCATCTCCTGAAAGAGCCCTTCCATGTCCCCTCCTCCATCTAAACTGAGTCCCCTTAACATAATCTCTTTCCTTCAAAGGATTTAACCACAATTTGTGCATAAATACTACTGTGAGCTTATTTGATGAGTGTGTCTTCACCCATAGACCACAAACTCCATGAGAGCAGGCAATGGAATCGCCATTGTTCACTGTCACAACCGCACTGTCCAACAAAGTGTGTGGCATATAAAAGTCACTCAAGCACTTGGGCTGAATTGAATGAATAAATGGTTTTCAATTCGGCCTCTCAAATACCTCAATCCTAGAAAAGGAGGTATGTTCTGGATAAGAGTAGTAGGTATTCTGGTCACTAGAGAGGTATCTGCCTCACAAAAATAAGGTGGAATTATGCTTTTAAAAAAGGAAAAGAAAAAACCTTTATATCACATAAAATTTCCAGTACTTTAAATAAACAGTAAGATCCTTAATGATAAGAAATAGTGTATCCTGTGTCTCTGTGTAGCGGGTGAGTTGGAGGGTTACAGAGTGGGCCACACCCTCAGCCCTCTCCCCAGTAGGCCTCACATCCTCGCAGTAAAGACAACTGCCTTTAGGAGCAGCAGCATGTTCATTGATTCCTCTTTTCCAGCTCCAGATGCTGAGGATGAGGGCAGGGCCGTGAAAGGAGGAAAAGGCACAGGCAACACATATCACAGCCAATGCCCCTGCTGAGACTCGGGCCTGGTGCTTGACACCCCTACGTGTGCAGAGGCATTCAATAGACTAACGTTGAAACAGGAAAACATTTTTAACAGCCTTCCAATCCAATACTCAAAATCCCTGCGATGAGATGGTGACTGGGAAGAAGCAGAGTCACCCAGGCTTTTAATTCTTCCTTCACCAAGAGTTTGATCCAACAGGACTTAAAGACTTTCTGCTCTGAGGTTTTATGGCCTCATGGTGAAGAATGTGGGTGCTGTGGTCAGGCAGGCATGAGTTTGAGGGTCGTTCATCCACCTACTGGCCTTGTGACTCAGGCAAATCACCTAACCTCTTTGGAACTTTGGTTTCCTCTCCAGTTACCAACTAAGTTGTTGTGAGGGTTAAATGAAAGGATGCTATAAAACGGTGGGCCCGGAGTGTGCAATACACTGAGCTAGTTGCTGGGTCTGAGTTTACCTGGACGTTCTCTTCAGTCACCTCAATTTCAGCCGTATAGATATAGTCAATCAGCTTACTCAGTGTCTGCCCATCCACGTCCTTGATTTCAATTTTCTTGGCTTTACTCTCAGACATGTCACCTACAGTTCAAAACAAAACAAAATGAACATGAACTTGGCACCTAGAGTATGCTAACTTTCACATGCCTCCTGCCCCATCTGGGTAACATAAAGCACTTGCCTGCGCTCTGAAAGGTCATCCAGCTGACATCAGGTCACATCAACTTTGGGTCTGTGGTCATCCACAAACCCGACTTTATGCATCCCCCACTCTATCTGTTGCCCATTTCCATTTTGAAGGCAAATCTGTGCGCAATAATTCATTCAACCAACATTTACTGTAAACTGACCAGAAGAAGTTAAAAAAGTATGCACCTGTCCTCAAAGAGCACAAGTTCTAGTCTAGTAGAGCAGACTTATAAAAATATATCTAAACAGAGGTGGTAAGAGCAAGCAGAGGTTTAGCAAAGTAACCATGATAACAACAATAAAAAAAAAGTAACATATACTGCTAACTATGGCCAAGCACTGTCTTAGGCACTTTTCCTATGATGTTTATTAATATTACCCCCATTTTACAGATGAAGAAACTGAGACAAATCTAGAAAGGAGCCAGGCTGGGATTGAAACCAAGGATTCTGACTCTAGAGCCTATTCTTGTAATCAATATAGTATACTACATCCCAAGAATGCAGAAGATAGAACAAGAAACCCTGCCCAGGAAATCCAGGAAGGCATCCAAGTAGGTCACTTTTGAGCTGGGTGTTAGAGAATAGAGTGCTCCACAGGCACCAAGGGTGAGGAAAGATGAGCTGGATGCAGCAACCATGAGTGTAAAGATAGGAAAATGCCAAAGGAAAATATTGGGAGCAGTAAGAGGCTGGAATGGCTTGTACCTAGGGTAACAGTGAGGAAGGAAGCTGAAGAAATAGGTAGGAGCCAGGAGTTGTAACTTACAGAGCCCTGTAAGCAATGCAAATGAATTATGACTTTATGCTAAGAGTAGTGCCATTAGAAGGTTTTAAGGAGGGGAATGACATCCAATAGAAGGATGTTTTTGAATGAAACTTGGGATGCATTGGTGAAGCTGGATTAGAGGCAGGGAGAACGGTTGGAAGACCCTCATAATAATCCACAAGAGAGGACCTAGGCCTGTGAACTAGGGCAGCAGCAGCCCCACAGTTGCACAGTCCTGAGGCCCTTTACTTCGGCCTGCCCTTTCTATACAGCACCGAGGTCTGTCCAGAGCCAGGGTCATCCCACAAGGGCTTTTGGTTTCAGAAAGAAAAGGCAGGCAAGACATGTGTCTTTGTAGAATGAAATAAAGGGGAACCTGACTGCAAGAAACAGGGATTCAGAAGTCCTCGTGCGAATGTGAAAACAGAGCTGGGAGGTTGTTTTTTGCTCTGTGGAATTTGTACACTGGAGCCAAGACAGTAAGTACAGTACAGCAAGTGGGTGCCGACACCTACCTCCATGCTGCATAGGCTGCACAGGATTCCTCCCCCAGCGCAGTTGCCACCCTGACAGAGTTCTAGATATGAATGACTCTGGAACAGGGAAGGAAGGGGGAAACCATTCGAAAGCCTGACTGCTCCCTTCACTGCCAGATCAGGAAGACCAGAGACCCTCCACGTTGTTCTCTCTTCTCTCTGACTGCTTGTGGAAGCCAGTCAAAAGGCCTCAACACCAAGAGCCCTGAGGCAGGGCAAAGAGGCAAAGAGGAAACGGAAAAGATTATGGCTTTCTCCTCTACCCATAAGATAGGCGCTCACAGTCTCTCTGGAGTTTACTTCTGCACAAGACTTGACTGGGGCGGGGATGAACCTGCAACCAAGATATGTGCCCTTGACTGGGAATCAAACCCGCAACCCTTTAGTCCATGGGCTGATGCTCTAACCACTGAGCAAAACAAGCCAGAGCAAGAGCAACCTATTTTTAGACAAGATTACTGTACCCCTCATCCTCAAATCTGGGTCTCCTAAGCCAGAAGAGGATGCCTGGCTTTGATGTGATTTGTTAGGGACAGGAAAAAGAAACCCTATGTCACTGTAAGCTTCAGCCCAGAGGAACTGACTAAAAGACAGGTCACATGGAAGATAAGGCCATTCCTCCTTAATCCCAAACAGCCTCTGATGCCTCCAATCTTTTTTTCTGAGTTTATCTACTTAATCCCTGACTTCACAGGGGCAAAACCCTCAGGAACCAGACCCTATCTTCTACTACTACTACTACTACTACTACTACTACTACTACTACTCCTCCTCTACAACTTCACTCTAGTCTTCTTTGTCCAAGAGAAGGATTCAGTTTCCTAGTGCTCCCTCCCTCCTAGCCTCACTGCCTTGGATTAAGTCTTGTTGAGCTGCATGTTACCATGAAGATCTTCAAAGACATCAATACATCATGCAAACAAAACAGACAAGGGTCGGGGCTGGCAGAGTCTGGCATGAAGAAAGGGTGGAAACAGAGGTTCTGTGGAATGTGTGCATGCCTGGGAGGTGAGTATGGGCCATCATTGTTCTGCTTTGTGATGGTCTGTGTCCGCTCAAATTCTAAGCCCTTGCCTCTTACCCCAGCACATTCCTGCCTCTCCTCCCTATTTCTACTCACCATATATTCAAAGACACCAGCTAAACATCAGCCTACATCTAATAAAAACTGGATGGCAACTCTTCTTTAAAAAACAAAATCAGCCCGCTGGCGTGGCTCAGTGGTTGAGCATGGACCTATAAACCAGGAGGTCACAGTTTGATTCCCAGTCAGGGCACATGCCCAGATTGGGGGCTCAATCCCCAGTGTGGGGAGTGCAGGAGGCACCCAATCAATGATTCTCTCTCATAATTGATATTTCTATCTCTTTCTCCCTTTCCCTTCCTCTCTAAAATCAATTAGAATATATATATATATATATATATATATATATATATATATATACACACACAAAAAAAATAATATATAATCAGCCTCTGCATATAGAACCAGGACAGGACAGCTCACTCCAGGGGCTTCGTTTGGGATTGGAGCCCAAATGTCTTGCAGCTGTGATGATGGGTGTAAGACCCTGAGCCTGAGGTCTTCAGATCTCAGTTCCTTTAACACAGTAAAATGGAGTTGTTTTTAAAATATTTATATGATTATATGGAGTACAAATACCCATAGTCAACAGAATCCATAGTAAAGGGCATGATAAAAAGAGAGAAAAAAACTAACTAGGCTATTTTGGGGAAATGAGCTTCCCCTGGGATAGAGGTCCTAGATGGGAAGGTGGATGGAAAGGCGCAGATCTTAAAGATTCCATACTCACAGGGAAAATGGGCAGAACACAGCACTACTGGCCTCTCCAATCACACTATGCGAAAGGAGTAGAGGACCATTAAGCTGACTGCCCATCCCAGATCTTCCCACAGGCTGGCTGCCTTTGGACACTCCTGTGGGCATTCAGACCTCAGTTTCACATTTATACAAAATTATTGTGAGCAGGACATAGTCAAGGAGTAGAGTTGGTATTGGAACAACCACAGGACAGTTGGGCAATATAAATTCTGAGGACAAAAAAATAAAAAAAAACTTTAAGCCTGAGTAAAAGATTATAATCACATCAATCAAGTCAGAAGAAAGTCACATGTATTTTGTCTTCTTTTTTGCCTTAAACATGCTGACAGAAATGGACTCCGCATGAGTCAGCTGGGCCTTTTCATTACTAATTACTAATTTTATGCATTTTAAAGCTGAACCTGATCATTAGAACAAAATTTTGCAATGTTACTTTTTTTGTACCAGTTTACCAAGCTTTAAGCAAAGCCAGTCTCAAAAAAATACACAAATCTCATATATTGCTGATGAAGCATAATCTGGTTCAACTGTCCTAGAGTTGTAGAGTTGCAGCATGCCTCACAAGTCTTCCAAATGTGGATACCCTTCAACCAAATATTTCTTATTCTTGGGATCTATTCTTGGGAATGCAAATAAAGATTAAGATACAAGGATACCCATTATGGTATTTACAGCAGCAAAACATTAGAAAGAACTATAATTTCCAACCAGTAAGGAAATGCATTTTCAATTAGGATACTTATGATGGAATCTCAAGATGCCATTACAATTATGAGGTAGATGTGATTTAACTAACATGAAAAGATACTCACAAATTCTGTTAAATTCAATTAAGCAAGTTTTCCTTGAGCATTTGCTATATAGAAGAATGTGCTAGGCAGTGAGGACATAGCAGTAAATTTAAAAGGTACAGTTCTTACCCTCATACAGCTTATAACTGAACTGGGAAGTCAAATATTGAAGAAATAATGAGATTAGTAATACTAGAGAGAAGGACAGGGTACCATGAGTAAACCAAAGGGATGTAACCTAATCCAAGGGGATCATAGAAGGCCTTCCTGAGGAAATGATGCTTAAGTGGTAATGAAGGATGAGTAGGAGTTAGACAGGCAAAGAGGCGGGGAAGAACATTTCAGGAAGGTGAACACACATCAAGGAAGGCTATTCAACTCTATATAAAATGAACTCATAATGTTAAAAATATATTTCGTATCTATGTATTCATAAGTACACATAAATACATGTATATATTTATAAATACAAAATTTGAAAGAATATAAATTATAATCTTATCTAGATGTGGTATTACATGTAATTTTTAATTTTTTTACTTGCTCACATTTTCTAATTTTTTTCTGCAATGAACATATGTGATTATTGGGTGGATAGATAAATGGATAGATGGATGGCAACCAGATTCAATGAAAGGCTTTGACTGGCATCACATTAGATTACTTTCTTCTCTTTGTTATTATTTTTAATCCTCACCCAAGGACATGCTTCCATTGATTTGAAAGAGAGAGGAAAAAAGAGGGAGGGAGGGAAGAAAAAAAGGAGGGAGGAAAGGAAAGAGAGAAAGAGGGAGAGAGAGAGAGAGGGAGAGCGAGAGAGAGAGAGAGAGGGAGAGAGAGAGAGAGAGAAAGAGAGAGAGAGAGAGAGAGAGAGAGAGAGAGAGAGAGAGAGAGAGAGATGTGAGAGTGCAACATCGATTGATTGGTTGCCTCCTGCACACACCCTGACCTGGAATTGAACCCGCAGTCCTTCAGTGTATGGGACAACTCTCCAACCGAGTCATACCAGCCAGGGCAATTGCTTTTTTCACTGATTCTTTCCTCCCATTCAATTATTAGAATCCAATACCTACCCCAAAAGTACCTTTCCTGTCCATTTCTAAAATCATTCTCATTTTGCTTAGGCACTTCCACTACCCGAGAGGCAAGTTCATTAGCAAAAAGTGGAGCCAACTCTAAAGTTATGCAATTCCCAAAAGATTCTTATCACAACACTGGACTTTCCAAACCACACATTTCCAAAGAATGACTGACAGATATTTATTGAAATTTCGCTAAATATTTATTGCAGACAAAATGAATTATATTTTAAAAAAGAGATTGATGAAAGAGAAGGGAAAAGATTAAAACATTACTACTAGGGTTTAGATTACTCCAAAAGGAATGTGGCTCAAAATGTCCAAGTAATGAAATTATCTGGTTTTCCAGGCTACACTGTGAAATTCCTAGCCTAAGGTTCAAAGTGAGGTAAGAGTGGCTTGGTCCACTTAGCAGAGACACAGCTCTGAGCTGAGACCAGCTCCTTCACATGATGGGCCATGGGGGACACATATGTGAGGAACTCTCAAAATTAAGTGCCAAGTTTTCCCCAACAGGAACCACTCTAGGCCAGCAGAGGCTGTGTACTGTATTAGGGAAAGGTCAGATCCCATTCAAGCAAAAATGTGCCTGCACTCACCCATTCTTAGAAAATCTTTCATTCTTTTGACTGTTACTTATGAACTGTGTCAGGCCCTATGGTGGGCACTAGGATTAAACAGTGCCAAGACATGGTCCCCAAGTGTACAAAGCTCACAATCAAATGTGAGAAACATTTCATTCATTCCTTTAAAAAACATGAGCCCTACTGTGTACCAGGTACTCAGGACATAGTAACAAACAAGTCCGACAAAATCCCTAACTTCATGGAGCTTATAGTCTAATGAGGAGAGAGAGGTAAAAAACTATAAACAACTAACCAACATGATTTTCAGATAGTGATAAATGTTATGAAAAATATAGACTCAGGTTATGGGATAGAAAAGAGACGTAATGGGGAACCATAGCTAGGGTGGTCAGAGGAGACCTCTAGGAAGCGGAGACCTTTGAGCTGTAAACTGGAGGATGAGGAGCAGCCAACATACAAGATGCCAGAGCACAGGCACTGCAGACACCAGGAAACAGACATGCTGACAGGAAGCACAGAGTACTTGGCAAGCATGGGGAAGGGACACTGATCCAGTCCCTGGTCTCACCCAGCCAATGGGCCTTCAGTCAGCAGTGATCTATAGAGCACTGCACATACCTAGTTCAGGGGAGGTGCTGTGTGGCACTACAGACCAGAAACTCGACATATGGGTTTCAAGAAATTCTATTTCAGAAGCAACACATGTGAAATGGTTGGGCAAGGCTATTTGGCATGCTCAGGGAAGAGGCACTCCCTGGAAAGTTGGCGAAGATGCTGACAATGAATGACCGGTAGTAAATATTCCTGTCTTACTCTCCCCCATCCCAGGTCCCACTATCACCTCTCCCACATTCCTGTAAAGGCCAGAGGAGTCCCATGACCCTGCCTTCCTATAAGGAAGGGCTAGGGAAGGACAAGATGTGGGCCAGCCAGTAGAGCACTGGGCCAGCCATCAAGAAGCCAAGTTGCACTCATTCTCTGGGTAACCTTGGGCAAGTCCCTTCCCTTCTTTCCACTTCATTGTTCCCCATCTGCAAAACGAGAGATCAGAAGGCCTAGAGATGAGCCCAAAAGTTTATGTTTTTCACAAGCTTCCCACATGATTATGATTCATGCCAAAGTTTGAGAACTGATGGACTACAGGAATTCTACTCTCTTTGCCTCATGGTGGACAAGGGGCTGCACGCTCAACTGGCCTGGTTGAGATTATATTTTCAACAAGTCCTCCATGGTGCAAAGCACAGTATCTGGCACACTGGTGGGTGTCACAGCCTACTCTTTCCTCCCTCCCCTCATGCCATCACCCTCAATTTTGTCCCAATTACTGTGGGTTATTGTTTCCCTTCACCATACCTGTGAACATTGCACAGAAGTAGGGGCTGCAGGCTGCCAGGACCACACGGTGAGCTTCTATCTCGACATCTTCTGCCACAATCATCACATCACACAACAGCTTCTTACTGTAAGACACCAGTGAGGGGACAAGATGAATCGCAGCACCAACACCCACCCCTGTCATACAAGGATATTTTTCTCCCACCCAGATTCCATGCTATCACCATGTAAGGCTGTCATAGAGACCTGCCCTATCTTGAGGTAAGCAGGGGGATGGACTCATCAGCTTTTCCAAGTCCCTGATAAGCCTGACATTCATGCTTTCCGAAGGCACACAGAGTGATCCAACTAGTCTGGGGCTGCAAATTCAGAGTTCCTTCATGTGTCTTCACTTCTCTGCTTCCCACTCCATCAGCCTGGACTGAGACAGGAGTACGGCAGCTCAGGGAGCAGTGGGAAAAGCCTAAGGCTGTCAGTCAAGTGACTGAATAAATGTGGAGGGGCCACCAGCAAGAACAAGTATTGACAATTCCCCCAAGAAATCCACTGCCTGAGTAATACTGTTAAGAGGCCAGCCAGATCTGGAGGACTCGCATATTTCTCCTCCCACTCAGATTCAACACTATCACCAAAAAGACTCTGCCTGCATACTATGCTCCCTAAAGACCCTGCGCAAACACTAATCATTGCAATTATTAAGAATACTGTAACTACCTTTTTACTTGTCACTCCCACTACACTGTGGACTCTGAAAGGGACGTGTCTTAGTAACTCTTAGACACCTGGCTGCATGCCCAGCCCACAGTAGGCCCTACATTTTTACCAAATAAATAAATGAATTTTGAAATGGGTTCAACCCACATTCATAGATAGAATAGATGTTTGGCTGCTTTGGAGGCTAAAAGGGTACCACAAAACCCTGCCAACTGAGGAATTTTTCCTCTACCAGCCTTCCAATTTCTTACCATGCCTATTATTAATATAATGGTTAACAACAATGGATTTATATGTGCCAGACACTGTTCGAAGCACTTTTTTAGATGTATTGCTTTATTTAGTCCTCTACAACCATATGAGGTAGGGCTATTGTTATGCTCCACATTATAAACAACAAAACTGAGGCGCAGAGAAGTAAGTAACTTTCCCAGATTCACACAGAAAGAGAGCAGTGGAGATAGGCTTTGAATGTAGGCAGCTGAGCCCCAGAACCCATGCTCCTAACGTCTATGGCATCCTGTCACCACTAGTCCCTTTTTTACACTGAAGCACTATAGGTGGGAGGAAGGACAGGCAGGACAAATATATTTCAACTGTGATCCATTGGTCACAGTTAATTAGAACACTGTAGTGGATTGAGAAATCTGTCATGACTGGGTTTCATGTGAGAGTGATGAATGTAGTGAATTTGCCATGGTTGATAAATGGAAGAGAAGGCACATACTTGTCATCCCTGATGTATCATATTAAACCATTGCCAACTACTAGGACATTAGTCCAGGTTCACTTATTAGAGAAATAGAATCATAAAGCCTGAAAAGGTTGCAGCTGCAAATGGGCTTAGAGAAGTGGCCCAAAGCTACAAAAGCCCGAATCTTAAATCCAGATAGAGTACCACAATGCCTCATCACTGGGGGACACTTGTATGGCAAAAGATAGAAATAGGTTAACTCCAATAAGGAAAAGTGGTCAGGAAAGGTTTAACATATGAAATAATGTATCATTGAGGGGGCTTCTGGAAAGGGTAACAACTCTGAGCACCAGGAGGCAAAACCTGGGGGTGGGACCTCACCCTGAAGTGGCCAGCAGACCCCTACCTCACACTGCATATAGAAATTAACTCATAATAGATCAAAGATCTAAATTTAAGAGCTGAAACTATAAAACTCTTAGAAAACACAGGGGTATTCATGACTTTGGATAAGAGACCAAAAGCGAACAAAAAACAAACAGATAAATTAGACATCAAAATATACAACTTTTGTGCTTCCAAGGACACAAGTAAGACATCAAGAAAGTGAAAAGACAACCCACAGAATAAGAGAAAAGTTTTTCAAATCATATATCTGATAATAGGCTTGTATATAAAATATATAAAGAACTTGAACACTATAACTCAATAACAAGTAAACATAATTTTAAATGGGCAATGGATCTAAAGAGACATTTCTCCAAATAAGATATAAAAATGCCAATGATCACATGAAAAGATGCTCAACTTTAGTCATCAGAGAAATGCAAATCAAAACCACAATGAGATACTACCTCACACATACTAGGGTGGCTATAATAAAAATAACAAGTATTAGTGAGGATATAGAGAAATTGAAACTTTCCTACACCACTGATAGAATTGTAAAATGGTGCAACAGCTTTGGAAAACAGTCTGACAGTTTCTCAAAAGGTTATACATAGAGTTATATGATCCAGAAATCTCACTCCTAAGTATATACCCAAGAGAAATGAAAACATACATCCACACAAAAACTTATAGATGAGCTTTCACAGCAGTATTATTCATAATTGCCAAAAGCCAAATGTGGTCTATCCATATAATCAAATCTTATGCAGCAATAAATAAAAAGGAATGAAATACTAAGACATATGATCACATGATAAACCTTGAAAAGATTATGCTAAGTGAAAGAAACCAGTCACCAAAACCCACATATTGTATGATTCCAAAATGGGCAAATCTATAGAGACAGAAAGTATGTTAGTAATTGCCTAAGGTTGGGGGGAGAGGGGAAGGAGAAAATGGGGGTGTTACACAGGATTTGAGGGGGATGATAAAAATGTTCTAAAAATGATTGTTAGATGCATGACTGTGAATATACTAAAATCCATTAAATTGTGCACTTTAAATGTGTGAATTATATGGCACACAAATTATATCTTGTTAAAGCTGGTACCAAAAAAGAGAAAGAAATCAATGTACTAAGATGGTTATTGCAAGTTCTAAAGGCATTGTGGCAGACCACGAAAAAAAAAAAAAAAAGATGAGGACAGAGAACTGCTTGTAATGGTGAAATGAGAGGTTAGAATTGTCAAGATGACCTAGATCTCCTTTTCAGATCTGGTCAGGGTGTGCTATTCCAAAAAAGACTACATCCCCTCTTGCTAGCTGGATGGTCAAAACCCAAAGAGCCATTAATGTTCTACTGCCCATAAGCAGCTGCCGGTCTGACCAGAACAGAACTACAAAGGAGGAAGACTGGGGGGTTACTATGCCAACAGTCCATTCTCCACTATGGAAGTAAAAAGAATAGGAAACTCATGAACTGTGTGATTCATAAATGGCAAAGAACATGTGTGCATGAACTAAAATAACTTACTAGTAAAATTGAGGGAGGGGAATGTGAAAACGATGCAAGAAATAATCCTAGACCCCTGGAATATCGTGTAACATTTCCTTAGCTTAATCCTGTATGGTGAGATGCTTTACCCAGGTTTTCATCAAAATAAAGTATGCCTCTCTCCAGTTCCCATTAAACTCACACAGATCAATAAAGTCTATCCAGGCCCTTCTGTCAGCCTCATCCATTACACTCTAGTTTTTAAAATGAGCCATTTTTTTAAAATTTTGTTTTATTGCTTAAAGTATTACAAAGAGTAATACATATGTCTCCTTTCCCCCTCCCCTTGACATTCCCCTGGCCTCCCCTACCCCCCAGTGTCTTATGTCCATTGGTTATGCTTATATGCCTGCATACAAGTCCTTTGGTTGATCTCTTACCCCCCCCCCCCCGCCCCAACCCTCCCCAGCCTTCCCGCTGTCGTTTGAAAGTCTGTTCGAGGCTGCTCTGCCTTAAAATGAGCCATTTAAATACAAAGATCATTCACTTAAATCTCAGTAAAGCACTGGTGTTTTCCAAAACAAATTTCACAAAACAGTCAGTCTACGTAATAACAATCACCAAAGTGGGTTCTGTAGTCAAACACATGTGGGAAACCCTCACTTAGACAAATTTTTTACAAGACTTCCCAGAGCCCATATCTCAGAGTGGGGCACAGCAGTTTTATATCTCATTTTTCAAACTTATTTGAGTTCCGAGCTCTTTTTTCCCACACAGCATCTCGAGAAAATGTTCACTGGAAAATGCTAATTTACACAAGAGGAGAGGAAGCAGGACTGTGGGAGGATATTAAATCCAAGTAGATGCTTTTGGGGAAAGATGCAAAAATGTGGCAACTTGCAAAAGAAGTAATAAGAACATAGCATGATGACTTTCTTAAGTTATTTAAGAAAAAATTTTAAATAATAGTAATGGAAAGTGAAGGGGGAGTCTATGTACATATCTATTCCCTGAGCTCTCCCTTTTAGCAGTGACTAGAGTTGGCTACACCTGGCAAAATAAGGTCTGATGAGAGACCTGGAATTTCTATTTTTTAAGTTTTATTGAGATATAATTGAAATATAACACTGTATAAGTTTAAGATATACAATGTAATGATTTAATATACACATATATTATAAAATGATTACCACAGTCAGGTTGCTAATACATATATACCTCACACAGCACCTATTTTTTATGGTAAGAAGACTTAAGATCTACTCTCTAAGCAACTTTCAAGCATACAATACAGTATTGCTAACTATAGTCACCATGTTGTACATTAGATCCCCAGAACTTACTCATTTTATAACTGGAAGTTTGTACCTGTTGACCAACATCTCTCCATTTCCTCCCCCAGCACCCCTCCCCAGGACCCTGACAAACAAACACCAATCTACTCTCTGTTCTATGAGTTCAGCTTGTTTAGATTCCACATACAAGTGAGATCATACAGTATTTGTCTTTCTCTGACTTATTTCACTTAGCATAGTGCCCTCAAGGTTCATCCATGTTGTTGCAAATGGCAGTTTCCTTCTTTTTTTTTTCCTTCAGATATATAACCAGAAGTAGGATTGCTAGATCATATGGTAGTTAAATTTTTAATTTTTTAAAAAATATTTTTTTATTGATTTCAGAGAGGAAGGGAGAGGGAGAGAAAGATAGAAACATCAATGATGAGAGAATCATTGATGGGCTGCCTCCTGTACACCCGCAATGGGGATTGAGCCCACAACCCTGGCATATGCCCTTGACTGGAATCGGACCTGAGACCCTTCTGTCTGCAGGCCGATGTTCTATCCACTGCGCCAAACCAGCCAGGGCTAAATTTTTAATTTTTTGAGGAACCAATACTGTTTTCATTAGTAGCTGTACAATTTACATTCTTAACAACAGTGCACAAGGGTTCTCTTTCTCCACATCCTTGTCATCACTTATCTCCTTATTTTTTTTGTAATATCCATTCTAATAGATATAAAATGCTATCTCATTATGGTTTTCATTTGCATTTCTCTGCTAATTAGTGATGTTGGGTCCCTTTCATGTAACTGTTGGTCACCTGGATGTCTTCTTTAGACAAATGTCTATTCAGGTCCTTTGACTAGTTTATAATAGAATATTTCATTTTTTGCTATTGAATTGTATGAGTTCCTTATATATTTTGGATATTAGTCAAATATATGATTTCCCAATATTTTCTCCCATTCTGTAGTTTGCCTTTTCATTTGTTGACGGTTTCCTTTGCTATACAGAAGCTTTTCATTTTGATGTAGTCCCAATTGTTTATTTTGCTTTTGTTGCTTATGCTTTTGGTGATAAAAAGTCAGTGCCAAAACTAATGACAAGGAGCTTCTTCCCTGTTTCTCTCTAGGAGTTTTATGGTGTCAGGTCTTAACACTTAAGTATTTAATCCATTTTGAGTTAATTTTTGTGAATGGGGTCCAATATCATTCTTTTTCATGTCCAGTTTTCCTAACACCATTTATTACCCATTGAGTAGTCTTAGCTCCTTTGTCAAAAATGAGTTGACCATATATACATGGGTTTATTTCTGGGCTCTCAATTCCATTCCATTGATCTATGTGTCTCTACCATACTGTTCTGATTATTGCAGCATTGCAATACAGTTTAAAATCAGGAAGTGCGATGTCTCCAGCTTTGCTCTTCTTTTACAAGATTGCTTTAGCTATTCAGGATCTCTTGTGGTTCTATACAAGTTTTAGGATTGTTTTTTCTATTTCTGTGAAAAATGCCATTGGAATTTTGATAGCGATTACACTGAATCTATAGATGGTTTTGGATAAAGGCATTATAACAATACTAATTCTTCCAATACACGAACACAGAATATATTTTCATTTATGTGTCTTCCTCAATATCTCTCATCAGTGTCTTATAGTTTTCAGTATACAGATCACTTACCTCCTTGGTTAAATTTATTCCTAAGTATTTATTGGGGATTTTTATGTTGTTGAAAATAGGATTGTTTTCTTTCTTTCTTAGTTTGTTGTTAGTGTATAGAAATACAACTGACTTTGTATGTTGATTTTATATCCTGCAACTTGACCAAATTTATTTATTAGTTCTAACACTTTTTTGGTGGAGTCTTTGGGTTTTTCTATATTTAGACATGTCATCTGCAAACAGAGACAATTTTATTACTTTGGTTTTTATTTCTTTTTCTTGCCTAATTGCTCTGTCTAGCACTTCTAGTACTATGTTCAGTAGGATGGTGAGAGTAGTTACCCTTATCTTGTTCTTGACCTCAAAGGAAAAGCTTTCAACCATCCTATATAATAAAATCCTAATATGCAAATCGACCAAACGGCAGAATGACCAACAGAACGACTGGTTGCTATGACACACACTGACCACCAGGGGGCAAGATGCTCAATGCAGGAGCTGTCCCCTGGTGGTCAGTGCTCTCCCACAGGGGGAGTGCCACTCAGCAAGAAGCCGGGCTCATGGCTGGCAAGCGCAGTGGCGGTGGCAGGAGCCTCTTCCACCTCTGCAGCAGCACTAAGGAGCAGCAAGCCGAGCAGTAAGGAGCAGTGAGCAGGTGGGCGGTAAGGAGCGAGGGGTCCCGGACTGCAAGAGGGATTCTGGACTATGAGAGGGATGTCCGACTGCTGGTTTAGGCCTGATTCCCATAGGGAGTGGGCCTAAGCCAGCAGGCAGACATCCCCCGAGGGGTCCCAGACTGTGAGAGGGCGCAAACCAGGCTGAGGGACTCCCCCACCCAGTGCACAAATTTCGTGCACCAGGCCTCTAGTCGAGTATAATGTTAGCTATGGGTTTGTCATATATGGCTTTCATTATATTAAGGGATGTTCCTTCTATACCCAATTTGTTGGGGGTTTTAAAATCATGAACAGGCATTGAGACATTTTTTTCTGCATCTATTGAAAGAATCATAAGATTTCTCTATTAATTTGGTTTCTCACATTTACTGATTTACATATCTTGAACCATCCTTGTATCCTAAGGATAAACCCCACTTGATCATGGTATATAATCTTTTTAATGTGCTGTTGAAATCAGTTTGCTAGTAATTTTTTTTTATTCCTCACCTAAGGATGTTTTTTTTCCATTGATTTTTTAGAGTGTGGAATGGAGGGAAGGAGGAAGGGAGGGAGGGAGGGAGGGAGGGAGGGAAGGAGGGAAACAATAATGTGAGAGAGACACATTGATTTGTTGCCTCCCGTGTGCACCCGAACTGGGACCAGGGATCAAAACTGCAATTCAGGTACATGCCCATGACCCCTGGGTGCCTAGGTTGAGACTCTAACCACTTAGCTCACCAACCAGGGCCAGTTTGCTAGCATTTTGTTGAGAATATTTGCATCACTATTCATAGGGGATATTGACATGTACTTTTATTTTCTTGTACTGTACTTATCTGGCTTTGGTATCAGGATAATTCTGGTCTTGTTAAAAGAAATTTGAGGGTGTTCCCTCCAAGTTTTTGGAAAAGTTTGAGAAGGATTGGCATTAATACTTTGACCGTTTGGTAAAATGCACCAGTGAAATTATCTGGTCATGGGCTTTTCTTTGTTGGGAGATTTTTGGTTATTGATTCAATTTCCTTAATCATGACTGGTCTGTTCAGATTTTCTATTTCTTTTTTATTCAGTCTTAGAAGGTGGTATGTTTCAAACATTTATCCATTTATTTTAGGTTATCCAATTTGTTGGCACATAATTGTTCATTGTGGCCTCTTATGATAAAGTGTCTTTTTGTAGTATCAGTTGTAATGTCTCTTCTTTTATCTATAACTAGAGGCCTGGTACACAAATTCATGCATGGGTGGGGTCTCTCAGCCTGGCTAGCAATCGGGGCCAATGGGGGCATCTCACCCAGTCCTGATCGGGGCCGATTGGGGCCAGCCAACGTGGGGGAGGGACCGTGGGGAGTTGGCCGGCCACAGGAGGTTGGCTGTGGGAACACACTGACCACCAGGGGGCAGCTCCTGCGTTGAGTGCCTTCCCCTGGTGGTCAGTGCGCGTCATAGCAACCGGTCAACCGGTTTTGTCATTCGGTCGCTTAGGCTTTTATATATATATAGATTTTGAGTCCTCTTTCTATTGTCTTAGTTAGTTTAGCTGAGTTTGTGAATTTTGTTGATCTTTTTTAAAAACCAACTCTTAGTTTTATTGATTTTTTTCTATTATCTTTCTAGTCTCTATTTCATTTATCTCTGCTTTAATCTTTATTATTTCCTTTCTTCTGCTAACTTGAGGCTTAGTTTTTTCTTCTTTTTCTAATTCCATAGGGTGTAAAGTTAGGTTGTTTATTTGGAAACCTGGAATCTTAAATTAGACAAAGGGAAAAAGGCAACTCAAGGGAACAACATGAAGAACTTCAATAGAGTCTAGGGAACACAACACAAATTCTTCAGTGACAAGAGAACCATACACATAGGCACAAACATCAGCATTGCCTACTGCCAAAGACAAATATGAACACAGCTTCCAGGAAATTTGGCAGGGTGCCTAATAAAAATTGAGCAATAGGGCATAAGATAAATTTAATTTAACTTGGTTTTTATGCCAAAGACTGGGCCCTGCAAAAGGGAAAAATGAGGACACAAATATAGAATCAGATAGAACTTTTTTTAAAAAGTAGTTCAACCCCTTACTCAACAAACATATCTTCAGCTATATATGCTTATGCTCATGTCATTTTCTCTGCTTGGAAGACTTTTTCCTATCCATTTATCATTCTTTAACTCTTACTTGTCCTTCAAAATTTACCTCAAGCATCATCCCCTTTAAGAAGTGTTCTCCAAATTTGCAGTTTGGCATACTTGCTTCCATAGCACCCTTTAAGAAACAAATAATTATTGCACACCTACCACCTGGCAGGTACCTGGTGCATTCTTCCTTCACAAAACACCTATTTGTACTACAGAATATAATTTTCATTGACCTATTTATTTATTTAACTTTTTACCCCCACTCACCCATCGCAGAGCCTAGCTACTGCCTCAGTTCCTATGAAGTACTAGGTGCTAGACATCACAAAGATTCAGAAGTTGCCGCTGCCTGAGGAAACTCATGCGCTACATAGAAAAGAGGAAATAAACAATTACAGTTCACAACAGGGTGAATAATGGCATGGGCAAAAGAAGCTTCTGAGTTTTCTAGAAAAGAAGAGATTGTGTGCACAAGCTTTGTACAAAAAAGCATGTTCAGTGTCCTGAACCTGTTTTGCAACAAGCTCATCAAACATGCACACTGGCTTTTAGCTCGGTGAGGATGAGTGCATTTGCATTTCATTTATTTCTTTATAGTGTTAAATTGCATTTTAGAAGCTAGGTATTTTTCCATTCATGTGGCTAACAAGCTAAGTTCAGACCAAGGAATAAGAGGGAGGCCAAAAGAAAATGTATGGCATCCACAATCTTTAATCTGCAATTGTGTATAGGTGTTATAATCATTCTATTATTGGACTTCAAGTAGCTGGTTCAGTTGGAAACCAAGTCCAGGAACAGAATTTCTGTAACCATAAAGGATTTCTCCCCTGTGATTAAGTACTAAAATGATAGGTGTTAAATTCAAAAGAAAGAGAGAGATTTCTGAAAGACATATGCCATGTGACTGAGAGTGGGTGGGGAAGAGTCAGAATTCACTAGGAGGTGGTGTCCTAACTTAATAGAACCTGATAACGCTCACCAGGCAAGTTGCTTCCAAAAGGGCACAGGCAAAATAGGAAATGTACCTCCTCAGTTCATTCATAACCTTGAACGCCTTCCCCATGTGGGCAGGATTGACAGTGATAGTCCTCTGGTTCTTCTCATCATCCCCAGCCTGTATCGGGGACAGGGAGCTCAGCTTGATGCTGTGAACAGGAAGGGAGTGGGAGGGGGGAAAAAGAGGATCACATGTTGATAAACCCATTCACCCAACTGCCACAAGTGCATGCATTTGCCCACCCACCAGGGGCATCCCTGTCAGCCTGTTCTCTTAACCATAGACCCAACAGGGAAGGAATGCATTGGGTCAGGCATTTCTGCAGGATCTTCCAATGCAAAGTGCATTCCTCTGGTGGAAGATGGGTCCTAGCTCAGCTTATTCCACCAAGCACTTTTGTGACTTTGTGGGAGTGCTTAACTTCCATCTCTCCAGATGGGGAAATTGAGGGAAAATTAAGCACTATACCATTCAATTCATAGGAATGTTTGTTCATTCAACAAACATCTAATGGAGCCTACTGTGTGCCAGGCACTGTATTGAAATTTAAGGGAAACACAATAAACAAGGAACAGACCCTGCTCTCACAAAATTTTGAGTTCAGTAGAGGAGAAAGCCAAGTAAACATTTAACCATTGTATCTTAAGTATTATAATTTGACTAGAGGCCTGGTGCATGAAATTCATGCACTTGGGGAGTCCCTCAGCCCAGCCTGCGCCCTCTCACAGTCTGGGAGCCCTCCAGGGATGTCTGACTGACAGACATCTTTAGTGCTGCTGCATCGCCATTGTGCTCACCAGCCATGAGCCCGGCTCAGGGCTTCTGGCTGAGTGGCACTCCTCCTGTAGGAGCACACTGACCACCAGGGGGCAGCTCCTACGTTGAGCATCTGCCCCCTGGTGGTCAGTGCACATCAAAGCGACTGGTCGTTCTGTCATTTGGTCAATTTGCATATTAGCCTTTTATTATATAGAATAAGAGTTACAGAAACACACAATTGGGGAAAAGGAAGACATATGTAATACTTTAAACAATAAAAAAGTGTTACAGAAACACAAAGGATGGGCAACTATCCCAATGCTGGTATGTTGAGGGGAAAACTTTGTAGAAGCTGAGCAAGAGCATACATTAACCAGGTAAAAAGGAAGATGGAAAGTATTTGGACAGAGAGAGCAGTATGCACAGAGACCTGGAGAAAAACTCAAGTGTGTTCAGTAAAACTAGAGGAGGGTATCAAGGAAAAAAAGGCTATTAGACTGAACAGTCTTGTGCCATATAAGCAAAGCTAAGGAGTTTAGTTTTCATTCTGAAACCATGAGAAGCCATCAAAAGGTTTTAAGCAGAGAAGTGGGGCAGGAAGCAGGTGAACATATTTGTGCTTCAGAAAGATCACATTGGCTACAGTATAGAGCAGTGATGGCGAACCTATGACACGCGTGTCAGAGGTGACACACGAACTCACTTTTTTGGTTGATTTTTCTTTGTCAAATGGCATTTAAATATATAAAATAAATATCAAAAATATGTCTTTGTTTTACTATGGTTGCAAATATCAAAAAATTTCTATATGTGACACGGCACCAGAGTAAGTTAGGGTTTTTCAAACTGCTGACACGCCGAGCTCAAAAGGTTTGCCATCACTGTCCTAAGGCTTAGGAAGAGCCACACTCAAGGGGACAAAGAGCCGCATGTGGCTCACGAGCCGCAGTTTGCCGACCATGGGTCTAAACCATCATAATCTCTTGTTTTATTACTATGATAACCTCCTCCCAGGCTCCAGAGTGATCTTCACAGAATGTCAGTGTAAGCATGGCATGTTCTATCTAGAACAAATCTCAGAGACCTAGGCTGGCCCTTCATAATCCCATCATTTCCCTGAAGACTTCTTGTTACTGTAGTACTAAAAATACTTACAACTGCCTAAATATACCAGGCTCTTTTGCCCTATCCCCATTCTCCCTGATGTCTAGTTCATTCCTTTCAGCCCTTCAAGCCTCTTGCTGGGATCTTCCTATCATCCTCCACTACCCACTATCAGTGGTTCTCAACCTTCTGGCCCTTTAAATACAGTTCCTCATGTTGTGACCCAACAATAAAATTATTTTCATTGCTACTTCATAACAGTACTGTTGCTCCTGTTATGAATCGTAATGTAAATATCTGATATGCAGGATGGTCTTAGGCGACCCCTGTGAAAGGGTCGTTCGACCGCCAAAGGGGTTGCAACCCACAGGTTGAGAACCACTGCACTAGATTAATTTTCCTTCCTATGTGTTCCCATGGTACTCTGTGCCTTCCTCTATATAATAATGTAATTATCTCTTACTTCTCTGTCTCCCCCACACAGTATGTGCTGGAAATGTTTAACAGTTGGTTTCAAGGAAGGGAGCCCTGATTTTTAACATTTGCCAATTTCCATGGTGTAAATATTCCCACCACAACATATTTCAATCTACCAACACACTGTCACTGAGTATATGGAGGTGGGAAGAAATGTGCAGCAAACACATCATTATATCGCCATATAGTATTTCCACTATACAGATATAAGAGACATAGTCCAAGGCAGTGGTTGCCAATCTTTCGGACCTCGTGGACCACCAGTTGGTGACTGCTGGTCAAGAGACAAAGATCATAGTAAAATAAATGGGAAGTGATGAGTTTTGAGTGTTAATTACACTTGTTTTTAATATAATTAAGTTATATAATTTAATTTTTAATAAAAGTTGTATTTAAAAACTGACTCATAAAATTCCTAAAAATTTAATAAGCAGCTCTTGCAAGTGGATGATTGTTGGCTCAAGCACAACACTGCTCACCCAACTTTGAGCTCCGTGAAAAACAGGATGGTGTCTTATTTCCCTCTCTATTCTTAGCTTCTGGCACATGACAGGTGCTCAATAAATGATTATTTGAGTAAATGAAGGAATGGGTAAGTAAATGAGGTATAACTACCAACTATTCCGTCTTTCTTCACTTCTCCTTATAAAAATAATTATGGCTTTATCCTTCTCAACTTCCCCTCCTCTTTCCCCATGGGGGATTTGAGGAATTACTTCTTAGCTGTCTGGTTCCCTGTATTGGTGATACAGAATCAGGAGGATGGGGGGGGCAGAGAAAGCCAGCATCAACTAAAGAAAAGGGAAGCAGCAAGAATAGTTTCTATTGCTGCTTACTGTGTTAGTTCTTAGTCTCTTTCCATCACTGAGGAAAATTCAGCCAATGAATGGAAAGGAAAAGACACTAGATAGCAAGTCAGCAAAGTGGGAAACAGAAAAGCCTCTGAGCAGGCTGATTGTGCAGAGGTATTTGGGGGATCTGTCAGATAAGGAGCTCCAGCGCATGCAGGGTGTGAAAGAGGAGAGGAAAGGGTAGCCTTAGAAATGCTGCTGAAGCTAGGAACTACATAGCCTGTAAAAGGCTTCAAGAGATGCAAATAAAGTTTAGGCAGAGTGGGTTGATACTGGGCAACATACACAGAGCCCAGGCACATTATATTCAAGCTACAGATGAGACAGAAGAAAGGCAAAGTCTCTTAAAGAAGGGGAAAAAATAGCCTGGCTGGTGTCGCTAGTAGTTGAAAGTCGACCCATGAACCAGGAGGTCATGATTCAATTCCCAGTCAGGGTACATGCCTGGGTTATGGGCTCAATCCCCAGTAGGGGGCGAGCAGGAAGCAGCCAATCAATGATTTTCTCTCATCATTGATGCTTCTTCCTCCCTATAAAATCAATAAAAACATATTTTTTTAAAAAAATAAGAAAAAAATAAAACTATCCCAAATCATTAAAATCCCTCATTAAAAAAAATGCACCCTTTAGAAACGGAAACTAAAAAACAAGAATCAGAGAGAGAAAGCCTTTGGTCCCACTCACCCCACACGATCCAGGAAAGAAAATGATTTAATTACCAGACATAGTCATTTGGTTCAGCCTCACGTCAGATCCGTGAGTAAAGCTTAAGTGCCATAACTTAGCTCCTAGTTTACTATGCAGCCTTTTGATCAAATTAGCCTCCCCCATGGTTCTCCTTCAGGAAGCAAGAAAAGTGGTGGCAGGCCCTCAGGAACATCTTGCCAGTAATAGTTTTCACGGCAAATTAACAAACTGTTGTACGCCAGGTTCTTGTGAGTTCATCAGCTTGACTCTGCTTCTCCAAGTCTGGGCAGCAATAGAATGCTGACAAGTTAGGATTTTGGAACCTACAGGGATCTGGGCAAATTGCAGATCTAGCATGTTTCCCAACCCTAAAGCGCAAGGAATGACCACTGACTTGGGATAATGTGCACAGCCTATCAGGCCAAGGGGGCTCATTTCTTATGTCCCACTCTCTGAGGTTCTTCACTGTGCGGCCAAACCAGGCCAAATGAAAAGACTGGATCCTCTAGGACCTGTGACACAGCACTACCTCACCCCACGGACTGCGGGAAACTGCAGCGCTTACTGGAGTCAACATTATTCATTGTATTGAATTTGGAATTTTCCCACAAGCCCACCATAATTCATCAAAGCCAACCAGCAGCTGTTGCCATTCTTATAATCAAGCTCAAGAACAGGTATGTTACTAATCACATTCCTAAGGGTCCAATTCACAGACTGCTTCCTTCAAAACCCAGGGGTAAAAATCTCTTAAGTGGGCTGTGTAAAAATGTGAAGCACAAGAGAACCGCTTGAGTTCAGACAGAATTAGACAAGGAGCAAGAAAGACTAAAAGAAAGCACACCCTTTGTTATGTGGTATTTTGGAAGCCAAACTTCTGTTTGGTTTGAATAGGAAAACTGAGCTTTTCCATGTGTGTAGTTTTGATAAAGGCTACAATAGGCATTCATAAATTAAAAAGAAAAGTCCAGGAAAATTGTGCTGAGACTCTAAAAGTCCTTATAAATTATAAAAAGTTACAGATACCTAGCTTGAGAACCACAGAACTTACTTAATGGGGGAGGTGGGAATCTGAGAACAAAGCATGTTCAATTTATTTTTTATATCGTTTATTAATGTTCTTTTCAGGCTAACCTAGTTCTAGGGTTCATCTAGCAACTGAAAAAAATTAGGTCAGTTCTACAATGGCAAATTTCATCAAATAAAGAACTTGCTTTAGAAAAGTTATCCAAAAATGTTTCTGTCTGGATCTGGAATAATCTAAAACCTAACAAGCAAGATCCTAAAAAACCCAAACCTGAGTATGGGGAAACTATGTGGTTTCTGTCACTGATTGTTTTTGTTGTTGTTTTGTTTTGTTTTGAGGGTTTTTTTGCAGTTGAAAACCTTATTTCACCAAAAAGTTTTTCCAAAATGGAAAATTTTATTTCAATTATCATGGGTAAAATGCACATCTGCTTCAGGCAACAGTGATGTTCAAAAATTTCTTCAAAAGTTCCTACCCACTACTTCTGAGGTAGGAGAGGACTCAGCAAAGTGCTGTGGGAAGAAAGAAAAAGCTTAAGTGCTGCACTCAACACTTGTTCTTCCCTGGATCTTGACTGCATTTTTTACTTAGCATCGCAAAACCCAGCCTTTAGAGAGCATCAGTTCTCTAAATTGTGTCTTCTCAGAAAATATCATCTATCTGCTCCTGGATCAAGGGCAAAGAGATACGCTCCGTCCTGTTCCAAAGCTCTGCCAGGTCCAGTGGCAGGCCCCGCTCAGTAAAGATGAGCCATTCTCCCTCTGAGGACTGTTCACACAAATTCTTGGCATAATCTTGGGCGCCTGGGGCCCACCTCAAGCAGGGGCATCCTGATGCCTCTGATGAAGGAAACCACAATTTTAAGAAAAACGAACAACCAACTTCCCCTTTTTATGATGTTTCTTCCAGAAGTTGTGATTCTCTGCAACTCTTGCAGATATGCCAGAGACTAGGCCTGAAATAATTTTTTTAATTATGGCAAAGTATATATAACATGAAATTTATATTTTAACCATCTTTAACTGTACATTTCAGCAGCATTCAGTACATTTATGTTGTTGTGCAACCATCACCACCATCCATCTCCAGAACACTTTCATTTTCCCAAACTGAAACTCTACCCATTAAACAATAATAACTCCCCATTCCTCCCTCTCCCCAACCATTAGCAACCACCATTATATTTTCTGTCTCTATTAATTTGACTACTCTAGGTATCTCATATAAGTCAGAAATTTATTTTAATTCATCCATAAGACTGATTTCCAGAACTGAAATAAAATCCCAATAGCAAGAGCAACTGCCATTTTCAATGTCTATCTGCTCTACGCACACACAAATACATACACACACACATGCTATCACTGTAGTAACTGAGAGCCTTTTTCTTTGCAAAACAGAAGACAGAATTATCTTCCTCTGACAAACCAAGCCACAGCAATTCTTCACACAGAGAGATGGGAAACAGCTTCAGAAGGACCCATAGAGCTGGAGAGCTTGCAGTATACAACAAAAATGAGTGTAAATTCACAGGTTCTTCTTAAGATTTTGGCCTGAACAAAGGTGTATTCAGTGGTTCCAAACCTCATGGAGTCTATAAAAAAGAGGACTGAGGTAGGTCTTGTTGAAACCTAGAAGAAGAAATGCCACCCCTACATCTGACTACGAGAAGTTAGTTTAGGTATAAAAAAATCCTGGCCTGATAAACTCTCCCTAATTTTCTCATGGGAATGGTCCCACATAATCTGCTTGGGATGACAAATATAGGAAGGCCCTAAAATAAGTTATGTTAGTATCCCAGTAGAGTCATGGGATTCAGCAGGTCAATAAATGAATACCAATGATAACAGCAACTAGCATTTCCTGAGTACTTCCTCTGTTCCAGAAAAACTTGACTAGGTGCTTTATACATTTTTTCTCATTTGATCTTCACAAGAACCCCATGAGGTATAAATACTATTACTCCTTTTGCACCAAAAAGAAAAATTATTTCTGAAAAAATGCGACACACTCAAGGTCACACAGTTTATGAAGTAGATTCACTGCAAGATCTGTTACTCCAAAGCCCATGCTTTCAATTATAGCCTTTAAAGGTAGAAGTTATTTTCATACCCTTATGGCAAAGAAAGAAAATTGTTCATTAAAAATCTCTTGGCTGAAAATGTTTAATGCTTAAACACAGCCCCAATTAAGCTTCATCAGGTTAAGTGTGGAACAAGCCCCAGATTCAGGATTCCTCCAGTCTCTGGAGGTTTGACATGTGATCCTAGGCCAGTCACTCAGCTTCTCTGACCCTGGGTTTCTTAGGGAACTTGTAAAACAAGACTAATTCCCCAGTTCTCTCCTACCTCAAAGCATTCCATAGGGTCAATTACCCGTACTGAGATAAAAAGGCCGATATCTAAAGATGAACCTATTGGCCAAAAGTTTTCAATCTCCTCTCTAACCAGCTTGCTTTTTAATTATCAGAGCTTCCCACAGAAGTTATCAACTAATCAGCAAATTATTATCCAGGACCTACTATGCACGCAGTCACACAGCAGTGACAGAGCAGTCACTGAGGACTATTCAGAGGTATAGGTACCATCCTTGTCCTTGAGGACCTGTCTCCAAGTTTGGGGACTTATAAGATATAAAAAACAAAAGCACAAAAATTCTGGTGTCTTCATCTATTATTCGGTACCCAACTATGAGATACTGGAATTCAGAAGAGCATCAGCTGGGACTAGAAAAGCTGAGATTTCAGAAGACAAATGCTTGGCATGGTAAGTTGGTCCTGGAGTAGAAACAAAATATAGTGAGCTGAGTGACCTGATGAATGTTGGAAGATGCTCAGTTTGTATTTCTCGCTACTCTCTGTCTCCAATACAGGAAAAGCATAAGAACATATGCAAAAACCAGGTGTTATAAAGCAAACGACATCAGCCATGCCACCTGAAAGGCACTGAATATTGAAATACAAGAGAGTTCCTTGAGGGCATGGACCCATTACATTTCTTAATACAGTCCTGGGAACACATTAGGTGCCCAAAAATGCTTGGGAAGCAGTACTGTGATCTGCTGCTGCTAGTCTCACATGGACCTTTCAGCCCATTATACCATGAGTCAAGAAAATAGGCCTGGTCCAGAACCTCTAACCTCCATTCACATCACCCGACCCTACTGCTAGATGCCATACACCAGAAAGGTGAAGACGCTGCCCACCTCTGCCCCAAGTCTAGGAAACAGGCTACATGGAGTCCAACACTATGCTTTTACTGCAAAGAGCATCCAGGGACAGACTGCACCAGCAGCATACTCTGTCCCAAAAGCCCCAGACTCTTGAAGTCACATCAAGAAACACAGTCCTGCCCTGGCAGATGTGGCTCAGTGGTTGGAGCATCGACCATGTACTGAAGGGTCGTGGGTTCAATTCCCAGTCAAGGGCATGTACCTGGGTTGGACATTCAAATCCCAGCCCTGGTGCAAGATGCAACCAACCAATGTGTCTCCCTCACATTAATGTTTCTCTCTCCCTCCCTCCCTCTTCTTTCTTCCCTCTTTCTCCCTCCCCTCCCTCCCTCCCTCCCTTCCACTTTCTCCAAAAATCAATGGAAAAAATATCCTCAGGTGAGGATTAACAAAAAGAAAAAAAGAAAGACAGCCCCTGAGGCCTGTTCAGAAAAGAGAACACCCAGCAATCACATCAGGCCTCATGAGGTCTAGAGATGTTTAATGACATCACTCTGCACCACGAGGTGCAAGAGTTGGGGCAATCTGTGCAAACGAAGTGTTTATTGCGGTACTCCCCAGACAGTGTGGATTTAATTAAACCTGTTATTTAACCAGCGGGTTACCATCTGCATCAAACCGACAACTCAAAGCAGCAGCCCTCCCCTCCGTGTGCACTTGCATGACCTGACCCCTCCCTGCTGCCATCTCACCTAGAGGAAAATGACAAGCCTTGTTCTCTATCAGCTGCAGATGCAGAATGAAGAGGCTGGCACAACATGAGATGTTTTGGCACACAGAGGAATGACCTGCCATGCATTGCACTGGGCACCTTCACAGTAAAAGAATCAGATCCCCAGATAATAGTTTAAAATTTATAAACATGTGCTTGCCAGGAAATAAACCCTTACTAGTTAGATCCTGCTCAACAGATTGCTGATTCCTATTTCATAAGAAACCCCTGGTAAAGAAGCAAGAGTTCCTCTTAAGAACACACCTTCCAGTATCATTTATAAACTTTTCAATGCCAATGAAAGTCAGATCAGAGTGAGTGTCATCTGATAGGTTTCTCTCCTTCTTACCTGAATTTGTGTGCATATAAAGGCACACAGGCACGCACGCAGGCACGCACGCTCACACACACACACAACACTTTTAGGAACGACATTACCATAACATGGTTCCTGAAGATTTGAGCACTTCAGTGTGAAAATGCAATCACTCTATGCCTGGCCAGCCCTGCTATAACATCAAAACACACACACACACACACACACACACACACAAACCCCACCAAAGAAAAAACACCCCGGGAAAGTAGCCAGGAAAGGGAAATGCCTTGAGAAAGGCAATCCTGATTCAGCCCATGCTGAAACTATTCCCAAACACCAGCCAGGAAGTCCTCTCGCAGGGTGCTCCGCTGCCCAGCAAATCCAGACCTGCCTTTATGGAAGCTAATCTCTGGAGAAAAGGGCTTCCCTGCTCTATTCGGCCTCCCGCTGGGATCCATCAGTGGCCAGGTCTTCCTTCCGACCCTGCCTAGCTAATGCAAACACAAAAGCTGGTGGCTGCCGCACGAGCACACATTCACTTACACATACACACAACACACTTGCACATACATACCTTTCAGCCTCCATTGTGCAAGGCCCAGCGGGAGTGGCAGCTGCTGAATTGTGCATGCACCGGAGATCCTAGCTCTGTTCTCGGTTCTCGCAGCCAACCAGCAGGAGATCTGATCAGCAACAGTGATTCAGCATGGCTGCAAATGAAGCCTCCTCCCTCTCGATCCTCCTTCCTCTGACTTACTAGCGGCAGCTTCTACCGCAGAAGCAGCAGCAACAGAAAATGTCTTACCCAGAGCTCCCTGCAGTCCTTTCAGCAGCTAAAAGCAGCAACCCACTTGCTCCCCCTCCCCCGCAGGCTTGCTGCTCCTCCGTCTCCTAGGAACAGCGCAGCTCCAGCAACCCAACTGCGGTGCCACCTTTCCAACTGCCTCCACATCTGCCCAGGCATCCCCAGCCCAGGCGACTTGCCTACCCCAAGGACTCGCGTCTTCTCTGCCTAGACTGCAAAGACTCAGGCAGTTATTCACTAGCCCAAGAAATACTGGCCCCCACCTCCTCCCCTGCCCCCACCAGCTATGAGTCTGTCAGCCCGGCCAGATTGCTGGAATGAGGAGGCCCCTCCCTCTGAGGCTTGCAATGGAGTTTATCCACCTGGGGAAATTGACTTGTAGGTCAGCTCATGTTCCAATTCCTTCTCCCAAAATCTACAGTAGCTCTGAGAGTCTGATAGATAGGGAATAGTTAGGGGGAAAGAGCCTGATACAACTGAGTCTTCTCTGCACAGAGAAATTAGAAAAGAAAACTGGCAGATATAGGTGAAAATGAAACAAACCCCATTTTACTGCAAGAGGCCAAATTTCATAGCACAAACCTAAAATAGCTTCCTAAAATCTGTCGTATTGAAATTTGACTAAGCTGTGCTCTATCTACTAAGTCTCCCACTGACTCCCCATCTCCAGCCTAAGTATCTCACACCCTGTTAACTCCAGCTGTTGAGACTCAATTTAGACTAACTTAACTCTAAAACATAATCTTGGGGAGGCAGGAGGCCAGTCTGTGTCCTAGCCACAGCCAAGAGGCTTAGCGGTAACTAAGGCAATCAGCCACTGATGATTGACTCTGCACAAAAATGGGTTTAGAAGCTTCCCTGATGCCTCAGGAAATCACACCTGGGCATCCCTATGCTGGGACCCTCCATGTCACACCTGTGCTTCTCCGGATCCGCACTACCACTAGCTATCTGAGTGACTTTCAGCAAGTCTTTTCTTCACTGTGGACCTCAGCCCCTCATCTCAGGATGAGACCAGACAATTTCAAGAGTCCCTTTCACCTCTAAAATCACAATGAGTGTAAAAAAATGTCTTAATGTTCCATTTTTCTTCTCATTAGAGTAACCCGCGAGATTGTTTAAGGAGAAAATCTATTGGACTCTAATTTTTTGTAGAATGCTTCAGGGAAAGTATGAGAGATGCTCTATAAATCTATTATTGTTATAATTTAGGCCTTTTTTCACTGCTACAAAGCCCTGAAACCAAGGCGGGAAGGAGGGGCACTGAGGTAATACAAACTAAGAGTAACTTAAACTTAATTTAGACTGTTGAACTCAAACTGGCTAGGATGTTATTCTCAAAGATTATCTCTGATACGTCAGGGCCTTCTTAGATTAGGCCATTACCCAAATTCATTCTTTCTCAAATGAGAAGAAACCTAGGTGGTCTTATTTACACCCATCAGCCCTGTATCACCACTTCTTCTCACAATACTCCTCTCATCTTTTGCCTGCTCTGTCTCTTCCTCCTCTAATCAGTCTTATGGCTCTACTCCAGATATTTCCTCTTGAAGTAAAGCACACAGACCAGGAGTAGCTAACATCACAAATAAGGAAACAGAATCCCAGAATCCATGCCAAAGTGCAGATATCCACCAGGAAGACAACTGGGTGATTCATAAAAAGGACATAAAAATAAGAGGAGTCTCTCTTTTACAACTTCATACCCTCATTCACAACTTCACCATTCAGGAAATGAGGGAAATGTCACATCTAACAAACCAGAGAGAAAGAAAAATAAAAGTCCAGGAAAGGAAATATACAAGGGCTGAACATATTCAGGTTTCAATATTACAACTACTGAGGGGCAGTTTAAAACTTTACAGACTTTTCTTTGCAATCTACTTTTGCCATGCTAACTATCACTACAATGTATGTGTTGAAACCATACTACTACCATCTACACCGCTCACTTTATCCATAAGAAGTACACAGGACAGAGACGATTCAGAGAAGGTAATCAAGAAAATACTATCTAGTAAAACCAGGGCCAGAGCTAGGCCAAGAATTAGTCTCCAGACTGCTGGCACAAAGTTCCTGCCCTAATCGTCTCTAGTTTGGGCTACGGTTTACATTTTCTACCTCATTATCCAAATGTTTTCTTGGCCACAACCTGAACCTGTTTGCTCTAGGGTAACCTTCCTGAATGGACTTCAGTTTAAGAAAAGTTGCTAATGAATTCTTGCAATGGAGGAAAGTTAAAAGAACCAAAATAGTGTCTGCCTAAGGAAGAGGTCCCACCCTTGGAAGCCTAGCAGTAGTGCCTTACCCCCTTCTTAGCTCTCCTTCTCATCCTCAAGCCTCCTCCCACAGCTTACCAATAGTGGCCTCACCTTTCCATCCAAAGCAATTTTGTTCAGGATCCTTCAGCTCTATGCAGCTCAGGAAGAACCATGTTAGAAGAAATTTTGTGGTTGTGGATTTGGTCTAGAAAGTTCTCTGCTACACACTCTATCTCGCCACAAGTAGTCAGTACAGCATAGTTTATCTGGAGAGAATTAGAAGACCAATCATTCTTAAATTTTTTTAATTGAATTTACTGGGGTGACATTGGTTAATTAAATTATATAGGTGTTGTGGGTACAATTCTATAACACATCATCTGCATATTGTATTGTGTGTTCACCACCCCAAGTCAAATCTTTCCATCATCATTTGTCCCCCCTTTACCCTCTTCTACCTCCCCACCCTGTTCCCTCTGACAATCAAGTTACTTTGCAAGTCTCAATTTTCTCATCTGTAACAGATAATAATTGTGCCTACCTCCAGGGTTGTTAGGTTTCAATGTATACTGTTGTTGTTTTTGAGGGTTTTTGTTTGTTTTTTGCTTAATCCTTTCACCTTTTCTACCCAGTCCTCCAACCCCTCCCCTCTGACAGCTGTCGGTTTGTTATCTATGAGTCTGTTTCTATTTTGTTTGTTAGTTTATTTTACTCATTAGATTCTACATATAAGTGAAATCATATGGTTATTTGTCTTTTTCTGACTGGCTTATTTCACTTAGCATAATACTCTCCTGGTCTCATTCTTCCTTTTAAGTATCTTTTCTCTTCTTTTCTTGCTTTTACCCTCCTTCTCCAGGACTTCAGGTCCCCACATGTGCAGGCACCTTAACACAGTACGGTGGTCCCACACCTAACTGTGCAGCAGAACCATCTGCCCAGCTGATAACTATTGTAGGCATCAGAGAATCAAAAGGTACAAAAAACTCTTTAGGGATACGGAAATGTTTCATATCTTGACTGTGCTGATGCTTACATAATTGTATACAACTATTACATTTCATCAAACCAGATGAAATGGGTGAATTTTATTTTATATAAATGATACTTCAATAAACCTGAGAAAATGAAAACACTACAGGGGCCAGGCACCACCTCACACCTATAGAGTTAGGGCCCAAGGAACAAGAGTGTTAATGAACTTCATAGGGGACTCTAATACACAGCTAAATTCAAAATCTACTTAGAACAATGAAAAGAGCTCACATCGTTAAAATCAGACAGACTAGGGTCCAAATATATTTACCAGAAACATAACCCTCGGCAAGTTACTTTGCAAGTCTCAATTTTCTCATCTGTAACAGATAATAATTGTGCCTACCTCCAGGGTTGTTAGGTTTCAATGTAAAAGTATATAAAGCACTTAGCAGAGAGCCTGGCCTATACTAAGCATTCAGTAACCACTGACAGCTATTATTTGCATTGCCTGTGCCATTGTTACCAAACTATTCCTCTGTGAGTCCTTGGTTCAGAGGTTAAGAAGTCAGCCGGATACCTTATGCCAGGAAGGACAGCCATGGGCCTCTCCTGAAGCCATTTCCACATTTCCAATAATGACTATTACCAACAGGTCACCAATGACCAGCAGAACCAGAGCTAAATTAAGGCCCACCCACATCTATATTGCCAAAACTTCCCTTCAGATCCTGGACCACGTGACGAGTAGACTCTACCTATAGGTGCTTATAGTGCCCTAGCCCAGGAAGCCAGGCAGAAACTGAAAATGAACTGAAGCCCAAAAATGTCAGAAGGTAAACAGAACAGGACCTTATCCAGAGTAAAGTTTGGCTTCCCTCAGGACTCTTCCTCTGAGGGTAGAAGAAACCATGCCCTGAGTGGATACAAGAGACTCACCCATGACATTTGTGTTGCACTTTAATGCTTACAAAGTGTTTCATGTCCCTCATCTCCTTTGGTTTAAGATAACAACCCCTGAATAGTAATAACAGCTCCCATTTCTTGTTTATTTACTCTGAGCCAGATTCAGTACCCAAGACTTCAGTACCCCTCTCATTAAATCCTCACCAGAGAAGGGACTATTATCCTTGTTTTAAATGTGAGGTGTAGAGAAACACAACAAATTTGTATGTATTAATTTTGCATTGTGCAACTTTACTGAATTCTAACAGTTTTTTATGGAGTCTTTAGGATTTTCTATATATAATACCACATTATCTGCAAATAGTGATAGCTTTATATCTTCCTTTCCAATTTGGATGACTTTTAATTCTTTTTCTTGCCTAATTGCTCTGGCTAGGAATTCCAATATTATGTTGAATAAAAGTGGTGAAAGTGGGCATCCTTGTCTTGTTCCTGATCTTGGAGAAAAGGCTATCAACTTTTCACCATTTGGTATGATGTTAGTTGTGGCATATGTGGGTTTTATTATGTTGAGGTACATTCCTTCTATACCCACTTTAATAAGGGTTTTTATCATAAATAAATGTTGAATTTTTTCAGATGCTTTTTTTTGCATTTATTGATATGATCCTATTATTTTTACCCTTCCTTTTGTTAATGTGGTGTATCACATTAACTGATTTGCATTTGTTGAATTATCCTTGCACCCAAGGGATAAATCCCATTTAATCATGGTGAATGACCTTTTTAATGTGCTGCTCAATTTGGTTTGCTAGTATTTAGTTGAGTATTTTTGCATCTATATTCATCAGGGATATTAGCCTGTAATTTTATCTTCTTGTGGTGTCCTTGTCTGGTTTTGGTATCAGGATAATACTGGCCTTATAAAAATGAGTTTGAAAGACTTCCCTCCTCTGTTAGAACTAATAAGTTC